AAAAGTATTAAAGTAATATTAGTATAGTATAACAATGACTATTATTTATTGAAGATAGAGTATACACCAATGGCGACTTCTAATATTTTTATGCAATTATTATTATTATATAAGTCTAATAAATGTAATTTAATGTTTTTTGTTCAAAAGATTTTCAAAGTCCGGTTAGTTTAGAACAGAAAGCAGAATATATTTAGTCCAAATGTTCAGCAACAAATATGCATTTTCATTGTATATAAAGAGGCACAACAAAACGTGAAATTTCTGTTTGGCTACTGTTTTGCTTAATCTGTATTCATATAACTACTTTGTGAAATTTTATATGTTCTGCAGCACATTTTCTTGGATTATATTTCTATTTTGCTGAATTAACTTTAACTATTCAGCAGAAACAAGGAATTGTAAATTAAAAACTGGGTGTACTTTTTATTATTACGATATAAAAAAAAAGTAAACCATTCCAACTAAAGCTAAAACTGATATACAAAAATCGATTTGATAAATTAATTTATATTACATACTAACGTTTTTTCACCTATTAAAACTCTTTCACAATAATTAACTTTTAAAAATAATTTCAACACAGCGGATTTACGTCTTTAGAGAAAACAAATCATATTTAAGTTTAAAACTTACCAAATTCAATTAATCAAAAAGTCATTTTAATAGAAACTTCACAACTAATTAACCGAACTAATTACCAACTGGAGTGCGCCTATTACCTAACGTTGGTACCAAAGCACTAATATTAAAAAGTAGTATCGCAGTTAAACGCGAACTTCACAACTTTCGTTGCTGTTGATGGTTAAACAACAACAACAACAACAGCAATAACAATTGAAATGTTCTTTCGTCTTTTTTCGCCTTCGTTTGTTATAGACGCTGATGTATAGGTAATAAAATAGAATCAAAGTCAAGCAATTTCGACGTTTTAAGGAGTTGGTCGTTATATCGAGTGACGTTATAAAGAGTTTACATTGTAATAATATTTTAAGAAATGGTTTAAATTACGATTTTAAGAACTCCTTACTGTGTTTCTTCTTAACGAAATTGTAGGTGAAAGTACCCCTCCACCCACCAGAGCTCGTAAAATTTAAAAACAAATTCTACGAAAATGTCATTTGTCTATCTGCCTGTGTGTTTGCGATTGATATATCAAAAAGTATGAGCTCAAATTTGAATTTGATTTGTACTATAGTAACATTTAGAAGACATACAGGAATAAAATAGAGCAGGTTCCAGCGTTAGGGTTCCTCAACAATATTAGGATTCTATACGCCAGCAACATGAATTAATTATTCCTATATTAAACGTTATTGATTATTAAGAATAATTACAGAAATTCAGGACTTTAATATCTTTTTTAAAGTTAATATAGTCAATGAAATTTTAAATTAAGTAGTTGCTTTACACTCAGTTTGTTACAATAGCAATTATTTATTTTCCTGCTTTTGGTAAAATTGAAACGCATCTTACATAACTTTAATTTATTCAAGGTAAACCTCTAGGAAAAATGAACATGTAATTCAATAGTAAGCATCTCCACATTCATCCTTGAACACCAAATAAATAAAATTAATAAGTAAGTACTAGTAATTAAATACATAGGTGCTCAGAATATTATACACACGGCGACAAGTTATTTAAATTTATTAAGGAAAACTTTTTTGTTCAAAAGTAATTTCGTCATTACCTACTTTGCTTCTTCTTACACACAAATCAATATCATATAATATCCTCAATTGCTACGAAATAGCACACACATACATAGGAAGAATTAATGTCATGTTATGTACGGTAATTGATAACAAACTGAATTAAAATGACTAATGTTTATAAAACAAAACTGTTCAACTGCATTTATTATCTAATATTTTTCCCTTTTACAAATAAAAATTAAAATTTGAATAAGTGGAATTGATAATAATTTAACGTAATTTGGANCTTTTATTTATTTTCATACAGTACCGCTTCCATTTTATTTAATGCTAATAGTGCTATATCATCTGCAAATTTAAGCATACTAATCTTTTGCCCTTACACGTCTATCCCTACAGTTGTAGGGATATCCAAAATATGAGTCAAAAATCATCGACGACCGCATACTATTACTATTTATAATTTATAATATTAGTTAGGATTATATTATAAAATACTCATCAGCGTATTTACTTTTTTGGTTTTAAATTGGTTTTATGCGATTTACAATGATTAGAAAAAGAAAGTACATAATTTTGTTTGGCACTTCAAATAGAATTTTGAAATTTAAAATTGCAATTGAAACTGATTTTCGAAAAAATCAGCAATACCGTTCTGAAATGAAATATAAAAAACATTTTTTTGCTTCTTGTTCCGTAAAAAAGACGATAAAAGTTAAAGACTAGGTATGTTCTTATCCTGCTCTTTCTATCTTATATTCCTTACTTACTAGTAATGGTTCAAAAAGCAAAAGAGGCATAGCCCCTAACGCTTTTCCAGATTCTTTAAATAATTGTATGACAAGATCGATTCGCTTTCTCATAACCAAAATTACGAGAAGTATGCAGACGGTGATTATGGTCGCAATTATAGCAAAAGTGAGATATCCCACGGTCTTGTGGATATCTAACTGAGCTAAAATTGATGTGTCTATATTGTTGTCTGTTTCTTCTTTCGAATTTTTCCATATTATCCTTCATAAGAAAGTTAAATTAGATTTGGATCTGTTGTATTATAATCCACGATTTTAAATATTCCTGATTGTTACTATGTCTAATCAAATAAAGTAAATAGGTTTGTAATGTTATAAAATGATTCTTAAGATAGATTACTACTACTAAAACACTACATTTCTTTTTTTAAATGATTCTTGTAGTAAACAGTAACAAGTTTTTAAAATAATATCAATAGAATGTATGGGTTGAGGATGTCTCTGCATGGGTGCATACCGCAAAAAAGTTACAGGTATGTATGTAATATTACAGGCAGGTGATGAAGATACAATTTAGCAATGACTAGGATAATAAAGGGCTCATTAGAAGTCGATAAGGAAATAATACATTTTGTGAAAATAGCCAAAAAAGAACGAATAAGCAAAATTCTAAATTTATTCGACAGTTAGGGCGACCTCATTGACCATAGGCCCTAGGCGATCGCGGGGCCCATTAATACCTCTGTACGCATGGGTAAAAAAAATTTACTTACCAGATATACGCAGTGCCTGCTATGCTTCCTAAGGCTACAATAACCAAAACTAACCAAACTACAATTCCAGCTAAGTACCTCAGTAATATCACAATAACTATTGAGAATCCTGTTAATTAAAACGAGAATTTATTTAGCAACAAAGAAAATATTAAAGGGGTTTTGTAACTGCGAACGTACCAAGTGCGATTAGGCACAGATAAAGAGTTTCCCTCCAACAAAGTCTAAAATCTTCAGTCACTTCCTAAAATTATTTTTCGTTTTATAACAAAAAGGAAAAGATAAAAATTATGTCTTTAGGTATACATGGATATAGAAAACATACCCGAGCGAAATCTTTTAAATTTATATCAGTAAATTTCTTAATTTTTGTGTCTGCACTACTGATTTTTACAGGTAAGCATCTGTTCAATATTTGACGGCTAAAAAATTAGAACATAATTACATATTTGTAAAACACTAATTGCTTTTATCTAGGAAGCGGACGTCCGTCGTTCGCTCATGTACTTAAGGCCTGTACTTAGGCCGATAATCAAAATTTTATGGGCGAGAGCTACACATATAACACTAGTAGCTGAGCGTCCTAAGTACACCCCTCATAATGACGTTATAATGTACGACAGATATGCGCTCCTTACTTATATTTTTTAGGTTTTTCCTAAAGGATAAATCGTAATACATATTTTAATTCTGTGACGTATATGAATACTCTTCGTATAAATGATGGTTTTTGGAACATGACTTTCTGTTGTAATTTTTGTTTTGTGTAGGTATATTTTTACATATTGTCAAAGATCAATATGCATACAGTGCCGGCTTTAAGTGAAATGAAATATGGGTCCAAAATTTAAAAAGAGGTTCTTTTAAAAAATAGCCTCAAATAAGATAATTTAATTGAAATTAACGAAATTTTTGGATAAACCAAGCTTTTTATTTGTTTATTTGACTAATATAAAAAATTTAGTTTTTCGCAAATATCGCCGTTTGTACAGCCTATGGAAAACTAAAAGAAAGCGGTCGGCAGAATAATTATCATAGTGACCAAATGTTACAATTTATTTAAAGTAGTATTATTTATTTACAGTTATTTTTATCATTATTATCATTTACAAGACTGTTAAACTTTCAACGATATTTTAACTTATGCTTAATTAAAACAATTAATCTTATGAAGATGGGGGTCCCTTTACCAACGGGACCTGTTACTACAGCCCCCTTAGCCTTCCCTAAAGACGGCACTGCATACATATAATTTCATTTAATATACTCTTTTAATGTAAAAGGGAGACAACATAAATACACACTTTGGTAAATAGGAAATGGAAATCCATTACTGATTGCTGTTTGTTTGACCCAATTTTTAAATTGACGGTAAAAATCATACATAATGTACGTGTCATAGGTGAAACGGTTGAAAAACAACACGCAATATCATATTTGTTGTCTAAGAGTATAAATTCACAATACACACGTAAATAGACACCCTGTATAGACATTAATAACGTCATGTCGTGTTGTCGTAATTCAAATTTTTGGAAGAAATTGTTGTACGATATTATTATTTATTAATGAGTTTGATCGAAAAAGTTGAAAACCTTGAAAATTATATTTATAGATAGTATCGACGGTTAAATGACATGATAATTACAATACCAAATATTGTAACAATTCGACCCTAAAGGCAGTGTGTACGTAATTGAATACGTAAATACTTACAAATTTTGATAGTGGTCACAACTTTTGACGCACTTTCGACTTGGAACTGAAACATCATACGATAAGCCTGGTATATGACCATATGTCGGGTTGTAAACTAAAAGTAGACTGAAAAAATCCTTCTGCTTTATCTAAATCGAAACAGAACATCTAACAAGAAGTTTATTAAAAATACTATGAAAAAATGTTATTCCTATTTAGATTACTGGTACAAAGTTGATATATCTAAATTATTTATCGGTTAGTAGGTCGGTTACTTAGTGACCATTTAAGTAGCGGAATCAATAATCATCAGAGGAAGTCAGATCTTAGAATTGGGATTAGTTACATCGAAGAATCACGAGGGGCGAGTACGACTGGGTGGTGAGGCGGTTTGCCATTTTCATTTGCCCTGTGATGGTTCGGGGAGAGTGAAGATGACGACACCTCATCATCCTGTTTTTCTAGCCCCTTGTAATTGTCCGGTTGATTACCACCGATTCTTCGATCTGATTTCTTCTGATTATTTATTATTAATTACTACCTACATAATATATACAAGCAAACACGTATTATTTATTTAGAAAATAAAAATTACAATACAATAATAAAATTAATGTGATGAAAGTAGCGTTTTAATCGAACTGGCTATAAAGTATTTAAGAGTTTATTGTAACTAGAAGACAAAATATTCAATCAGGACTATAGAGAAGGTGATGAATTAAATTTTATATTTATGTTGGATTCTTAAACGTTATAATCTCGAATTATACTTACGGTAAATGGCTATTATCGGCATTACAGTGTAGTTTTGGATCTCTAGACGATTCTTTATTAATTTTTCCGCAAATATAACCACAACTATCGTACCCTCTCAAAATTCTATTTATATCAGCGTAGTTTGCACAGTAAACTATGAAACCAGCCTAAAAGAATTAATTACTTGTTTAATAATTTTTTAGTTAATTAATTTGAAGTACCCAAGTATGTATATATAATATTTAAAATGGAAGGTTTTAAGTGACTTTTTCTTATTAGGAGTTATCCTAAACTATTCTGAAAGCCCAAAGATTAACTAATTCATTAATTAAGATTAACCTTGACATTGGGTTCATCAGAACAAATTCCGATCTAATAACGTGTATAATTGCAATTCAATTCTAAATTTGGCAAATGAGTGTGACAATTCCTGAATTATTCTGAACATTCTTAGATAATAAGTGAATACAGTTTTCAGTTTGACAATGTCGTCCGAGCTTTTTTAGAAACTTTACCGTTCAATCTTCCGGTCAGAAAGCAGGGATCACGATCAAAAATCTGATCGACATTCGTTTATACTATAATCTTACATTAAATATTTTACAGCAGGGGATTCAGTTTGGAATATTTTTGCACTAAGTACTCGATGAATCGTTGGTTAAGGCAATTATGTTTATTATGCCAAAATTTTATGGTGCTTAAAATAAACCAATTAAAATGGAAATACACGTATCCGATTGTCAACCATGACGAATAATATTACCACAATAATCAACAATTACGATTCATACATACATACCATTTAATTTTAAAATTATTCGTAATATTTGTATACAGTATTGGGTTTGAGAGAATTTATTGTGAGAGATTGTTATAAATATGCAATGCAAATTGGGGGGGGGGTACAGCCGTTACTTAAAGGGAGGGAGGAGATTAGGTTTGCGTTACAAAACGACGATTTTTAAACCGGAAAGTTCGAATTGCGATTTCGATATTACGTAAAGATGCTTCAATTTTTGTATATTTAACATTAAAAGTCATAACAAATTTATTAATAAATAAATAAATCAATTTCCGTTTTAGGTAATTTGCAATTCCTTATTTAAAAGTGAAGTGAAAATATTAATTTCTGCGCTGGAGCCTAAAATTTTTGCAATGCGCGCCTTACGTATGAAATGGGGAGTGCGGGAGTGGGATGGAATCAAGCCAGACTTTACGGTTTTGTTATGAGCAAGGGTAGGGGGACGTGTCAAAAATTGATATACCTTAGGTAATGCAATTTAAATGGAAGCCATTAAATATTTTGGCTACTGTTTAATGTTTAATTAACAAACTGCGTCATTATTACAACACGTCTTTGACAAAACTAAAAAGGAATGCCGAACACGTAATTTTTAAGTCAGCTGCCACAATAATTAAGAATTATTACAAGCCTCATCAGAGCAATTTACTACAATTTCGAGCTGTTTTCTTAAATTACAATTTCCTTTAATAAAATCTAGCATTGTTAGAAGTATTTTACAGCGGCGCTGTAGTGTGTTCATATAATATGTTTAAGAAAAAAAACTATATAAGTAAAACACATTGAAATTCCTAGTGGTTAATATTAAATATTAATTTGAAAACTCATTCTCATTTTTTTTCACTATGAATTACCTCAAAAATTAATGAGGAACAACAGCAACAACGACGAAACGTACTAGGTCACAGGTCCGTCGTTCTTATGTGTATATATTAACACTATACTAAAGTACAGTATTTTAATTTTGAGGTAATTTATAGTGGAAAAAATTAAGAACGAATTTTCAAACTATACAAGTATATAAAATAGGGAATTATTTAAAATGTAATGAAAGTTCGGATTTTTTAAAATTAAATTAAATATTAAACGTGGAAATTAATTTTCCATTTAAACCAACTATAAACTACCTCAAGTGAGTAAGTAAGAGGAAAAATTTGTTGCTGTTGTCACACCCTCGCCGGGAATCGAACCCGGGACCTTTGGCTTTACGCACCAATTCTCTGATCACTAAGCTTAGTTAGGTTCGATTCCCGGCGAGGGTGTGGCTACAGTAACAAATTTTTCCTTAATAACTTGAGGTAATTTACAGTTGGTTTAAATGGAAAGTGAATTTCCACATTTAATATTTGATATATTAACCACTATTAATATCAAAGTGTTTCTTATTTAAAGTATTAATAAAATTGAATTTACAAATCGTTAACTTTATTTAGAGTCGACTGTCATATAAAAAAGAGTCCTAAACAAATATATAATACAGAAAATATATTAAGTAAATATGCACAAGCAGTGTGTAAAAATTCAATTAAGAACAAATTAAAAATTTACTTACCAATAGCACCAAAAACAACGAATGCACAACAAAAAAGCAAACATCAGTTGTTTTCCGTCTTTGATTTTTATAATCAAGAGACGATGTAACATTTGCCAAAGATGATATACTATTAACCTGTAAATAAAAAAAAATTGATAATCACTTTCCATCATAGAAAGAAATAGAAATTTCTAGGGGTGTCTCAAATAAGGAAAATTACCAGCGCTCTAAACATTTCGTGATACGCTTGTTAGCTTCACAGTCTTTAATACAAATGTAAACTAAATTTTCATTTGCATTGACGAGTTTAACCTATTTTAGGTGTGGTTTGTTTTTTAATTACGCTAAAAGTTGTTGCTTACAAAACCATGTAGGTAAGTATCTACCTTTTAGTGTATTAGGTATCAAGTGAAATTTTTCGAGGGTGAATATTTTGTAACACATATTTATTATCTACACACTTAATTTTTGTGTACTTTTCTGTATTAAATTCAAGACAGAGATAATTAATTACAGTTTTATTTTAATTGTTATGTTAAAATATCGATATCGAGAATATGGAAACAAATCATTATTTTTAAATCTATATTGTCAGTATGTACTTGAATATAATTAGTATTATTTTTATATATTTTCTTGTAGTCTTTTGAATTAGGTAAGTACTTAATTATACAGAACAAATACAATTCAATATACAGTGTAAACTCTATATAACGATACGGTTAGTTTTTATTGGAAAGTAGGTAATGTAGGTGAAGAGTGAAGATCTATGTCTGAAGTGCTATTGCAGCTTTTCACTGGATACTAACTTTTTATTTGATTTAACTTTAGAAGAAAACTTCGTCGACTCCATCATCAAAATTCTTTTACCTTTTTAACGTGTTTTATTATTTTAATAAACAATTTTACAATTTGCGTGCACAGTTCCTATGTAAATTTTTCCCTCATTCGAGTTATAAATTTTGCCACCAGATGGTGTATGCCCATTTGACGGATCCCAATAATAATATGCATTTACCAATATAGTACACATTTTGCACACGAACATTATTATTTTGTTACGTATCTTACTCATATCTTGAGATACTGCTAGATCAATTTGATTATATAAAAAGTATTTTTTTGATAGTTTCGCTGCATCAAGTGCTTGTTTGATGCTTGGTGAAGGGACAGGATCGTCTTCTTCAACAATGTACACAGCTGCAGTTCTTATCTATTTCGGCAACTAAGAAAGTACTGCTTAATGATTTATAATGCCGCATCGTTGTCGTTAAATAGAGTGAGCGTGACGCTATATAGAGTGTAATATTGTATAGAAAACTATGTAAACCAATCAAAGTCAAGCAATTTCGACGTTTTAAGGAGTTGGTCGTTAAATCGAGTGACGTTATAAAGAGTTTACACTGTAATAATATTTTAAGAAATAGTTTAAATTACGATTTTAAGAATTTCTTACTGTGTTTTTTCTTAACGCAATTGTAGGTGAAAGTACCCCCCTCCCCCCCGAGCTCGTAAAATTTAAAAACAAATTCTACGAAATTTTCATTTGTCTATCTGCCTGTGTGATTGCGATTCATATATCAAAAAGTATGCGGTCAAATCTGAATTTGATTTTTACTATAGTAACATTTAGAAGACATACAGGAATAAAATAGAGCAGGTTCCAGCGTTAGGGTTCCTCAACAATATTAGGATTCTATACACCAGCAACATGAATTAATTATTCCTATATTAAACGTTATTGATTATTAAGAATAATTACAGAAATTCAGGACTTTAATATCGATTTTAAAGTTAATATAGTCAATGAAATTTTAAATTAAGTAGTTGCTTTACACTCAGTTTGTTACAATAGCAATTATTTATTTTCCTGCTTTTGGTAAAATTGAAACGCATCTTACATAACTTTAATTTATTCAAGGTAAACCTCTAGGAAAAATGAACATGTAATTCAATAGTAAGCATCTCCACATTC